GGTTTCGAAATCCTACATAGTTCCTACCATAGATTTACTCTTAATAGCTTCGAAAGCCTCGAGATATTGAGAAATTTAAAATTAAATCCTGTTGGTTGCTTAAATGTCCAGATAATGTCATAAACTCCTCCAGTTTTCTCAACACTAATCTAAATTTATCGTTTTAACTTCCTTTTTAACCTCCCCCTTTATTTCTATTCACATATTTTCTTGCAAGGGGTACATTTCAGTAAGTAATTTTTTCCCACAAAAAACCAACGAGCATGTTTAAAGATTAGGTTATGTGATATTCATATTCTGTCATTTTCTTCTCTTCTTCTTCAATTTTCAGTTGCTTCACAACAGTTAACCCAGTCATTTCTTCTTCTTTCTTTTTTATCCTACAACATCACATACACTTGGTAATTGGTGATTCATGGCCCAAATCTTATATAATAAATAATAAATATTTCTTCACTCATAGTTTGCATCTTATTACCTATACCCTGTCATAAGTTTATCCAAGAATTTTTTGTTATTAAGTAAGTACCACCACCTGTAGAGGCCTTAACTTGACAGGTCTCCTTTCAAAAATGTTAGGTTAAGTAACACTACTAATTATTTTTAAAAAAACAACAATGTGTTTAAAATAAGCCTTCTCTTTTAATCTGTTTAATGTAGTTGTTTTGTTTTGTATAGTCTTGAAAATTTTAAATTTTTAACTATTTAAACTGACTAATATTTGTTTTTCAAATATTTTTAACTTTTATATAACTTGTAACATTGTTTATTTTACAATTTATTTCATCCCCCACATTTGATGAAACTTGTTTGTAGTATTCCCTAGTAGATGGAGAGTATGGTGAGTTTTCTTTTTTACTATTTTATATATCGTTGGCTCAAAGTTAACACACCTTACACCACATATTCTCCTTTCCACTAGGCGAGCCTGAAGATGAAGTGATGATACTTCGAAACCGGTCGCACTCAATGTTTTACTGAATAATTAAACATTAACTTTCCTTGTGAGATATAAAGGACGTTTTCTCCCCCTTCACCTTAAAATTACCTCAACTCACACATGGCTACCCCCTTGTCAACTTTAAAAGTTTATTTCACAAGTTTAAATCATATTTGTCTTTAGTTTTTTTCGTTTTATTTCGTTGACAATAGAAATAACTAGAAATTACGTTACTGTCTTCTTTTGACAAGTAAAGGATGTCAAAACACTTCACAATTGAATAATTAGTTGTAAAATATATATTTAAAATTCAATGTACCTTTGAAATACGTTTTCCATAAAAATATGTTAAATAAACCATTTTCCTAAGATTGACTTGCTAGAGCCAGAACCACAACCATCAAATGAAGAACTCATAACACCAGAAGATGAACCTACTACCGATGGAGATGACACAAAAGAAGATAGTATATTAATGATGATACTGTTATCGTTCATGCTATCAGTGTTAGTGCCAGTAATGATAATAGCATCTCCAAGTTTATTGATGGACTGGTTTTTAGTTATAGTAGTGTTAGGACTAATCTTTATTCCGATTACTTAATTGACTTTAACCGACAACTAAATATTGTTGTAAAATATGCCTTTTTTATCAAATAGATTCTCTAAACTTTTCTGTTACTATTAAACCAGTTGATATATTTAATAAAGTATTTCCGTTTTTTAAATTTGGTTTGTGATATTCTTATGTCAATATCTTGTTTCTATTATAGTCCAAGAGCTAGTAACACACATTCCATTAAGTGTTTGATGCACTTTGAAATTTTGTAATTTGAAATCATTTGGATGGAAAAGCAGATATACCTATGTTGGCTAGACCCACCCCGGGACACCAGGTACTGCGCATAATAGAAAGGGGTCGTAAAATATGACCCAAAAAAGTGTTTGATTCAGAGGCCAACAAACAACAATTGAAAGTTTAGGTAATTCTAAAAATACTAGTAATTTAGGCAGACACTTTTGAGAGGGTTTATAATTAATAAATCAACTCCAAAATTGATTTTTTTTTAAATATGATTTGAAGTGTTTGATTCACGCTGAAATTTTAATAGCGTCTTAATTAAATATAAAAAAAATTAATTCCAAAAAGGCAGACACTTTTTCCGGGGTTTAATTGCCGGCCAACATAAAAATGAATGAACCTCGTTATGCGCCACTATGTATTGAATAAGTATATACTTTTAAAAAACTAAACATTTTAAATTAACAAGACTGCGAAATAATAAAACAATAATATTTTTCCTTTCTTTTTTTTTAGAAAAAAAAAAAAAACTAAAAGTTCGAACCACCAACTTGCTATCCACACTATCCAAATTTTGATAAGTAAATAAGGCCACAAAAGCCCTAATGGTATGCAGAAACATTGCAGTTAAACGATGGGGATGTAACCCAAACATACTGCGATGGATGTACAGTGCAATAGTGAGACCAATCATCACTTACGGGGCCATAGCCTGGAGTAACAGAACTAGTTTAGCTACTACGGAAGCTAATATCTCAAAAGTACAAAGACTAGCCTGTGTTTGCATTACTGGTGCAATGGGAACCTGTCCTACTGCCGCAATGGAGGTGATCCTAAACCTCACCTAATGAATGTGGTAAAAAGGACACGATATAGAATGATCAGGAACGGAGTAATCAGATGAAAGTCTACTTGCTTCGGGACTAAAGATACCTGGGACATGCCCCAGGATGAAATGCTAAAGAAGTACAATTTGTGAAAAACTTCAAAACCACATAGCTGGGCTGCAAGAAAAAATGGAGCCAAGAATCCATCGCGCTTGCAACCGAAAGACTTGCTATTCAGTGGTTTACGGACGTTTCCAAAACTATAGAAGGAACTGGAATAGGAGTATATGGGCCGAGAACCAAGCACTCCGAAAGCTTAGGAAAATACCCAAGCATCTTCCAGGCGCAAATTCACGCCATCGATAAGTGTATCCAGTTTAACATCGAAAGAAACTATTATAGATAAGAGATTATCATCATGTCCGCTGAGGTCTTACGTAATCAGCTCAAAAATGGTCTGGAGATGCCTAGAACAATTTAATGAGCTAGGCGAGAAAAATAGAGTTACTCTCACTTGGGTCCCAGGACATAACAGGGTACAGGGTAATGAGATTGCATATAGTCTTGCAATGAAAGCGGCTCAAACACCCTTTGTAGGACCTGAGCCGTTCTGCGGTATCAGCAGTAACATAATATTAGGAGAGATTAAAACAGAATTGGGCAGTAGAAAAACCGATAATTGGAACAATCTCTTCGGACTGAGACAGGTCAAGATACTTCTGGGTGAATATAACCAGAAAAGATCGGAAGCCTGCATCTGCCTGAGCAAGAACAGGCTACGTATTGTAACAGGGATCCTTACCGGGCATTGCCGACTAAAAGGACACCTAAGTTAACTGGAATAGTAGAGGATAGTGAGTGCAGATTCTGTGAGGAGGATGAAACCTCCATTCACATCCTAACTGAATGTGTAGCACTCCAGAATCCAAGGGCACTATATATAGGAGGATATGAAATAGAAGAGGAATATTTGCCTAACACTTCCTTGAGAAAATAGGATTGGAAGGGTCGTTATAGGCATTGAGATATTTCCTTAGTGTATTGGCGACAGAAGTGGATACAATAGATCTTTTAGGTCGCAGTATATTAACACCCCATTCCCAACTTAACATAACATAACATATTTTAGACTGCAGTTAGTATGCCGATTCGCCTCCTTATCTCTAGTCTTCATAGTACGTATGTAATAATATATTACAAAAACATGTGTGCATAACAGAAATTCAATCTAGTTCATAAGTTGGAAAATAAAAATTCGGAAAAATTGGGAATCTTCAACTTTTTTCACTATATCGTACAAATACGATAGTTATCGTCCATCTTGCAACACTGCTCTCGCTGTTGACATGATTCCTTATAATTTTAGTCGAGTGACATGTGCAGCAAATCGCAAGAGAGTACTCACACTTCCATAGTTGCAGAATACGGCTCCAGACATCCTTGTCGCCTAGCTATCTTCATTTCGTTATCGGTACACAAAAGAATCAATGGGTGAGCACGGTGGATGAAACCCAATTTTACAGGAGGATGTAAGATTGATTGATTAATTTATTTGTAAGGAAGATAGATCCAAATTTTTCGAACTCATCCTTCCTAAAATTGAGTTATTGATTCCCTTGCGATCATTTTGGGTACCAATGAGTGAATACAGTTAGCTTGGAGACAAATATGTCTGGTAAAAATTGTTTCAACGTTTAGCAAATATTAGTCCTTCATCTTACTGTAAAAAGTGTCGTATTTGTAGTTGGGTAAAGGGGAGAAGGGTAAACAACATGAACTATGTCCTGGAGGTCGGACCTGCCGTGTAACCTGTCAAATTAAAAATATTGTAGCTTATAGATGGATTTTTTTGTTTTTTGCTGGCATTGAAATAATTTGCTTCTAGACGTCTATAAAAATAAAAAAAATCGTTTGTAAACATTTTTCCAGTTTGACTACTTCCGATGTAGGAAAATTCCTACATTTACACCGAAAGTAGGAATATAGATAATAAGAGAATTGGAGAAAGCTGAAATTTCAATGTTTTTATTGCTAAATCAAAATTGTTTTTCTTTCAAAAATTTATTTGATCCATTTGATAGATAATAAAAAAATAAGCAAGTTTCTTTAAGATTATTTTGAATGCTATATAGATAATAAGGAATTTAAAGAAGGTTGAAATTTCAATATTATAATTTTGATAATTTTGATTCATTCTGTACAATGATATAAGCTGTTTGTATTTTGATTTTTTTTTAACGAATAACTTATGATTTCCACATCTTTCAGATAAGGCGAGAACAGGATGCAAGATATGTTTCCTTCTTCACATTTTGGAAATTAACACTATTAACAGTATAAACATGTTTACAAATAAAAAGTAGGTACAAAATTAATTATTTTTTATAATTTTATTTAAAGATATATCTATCTAAATTGTTTATAAATATAGAAGTATTCTTTAAAACATACAATATTACAAAAAGTGTTTATACAAAGACCAAAAAGCCCAATTTTGCTATAATTACATAGCCAGGGTTGGACTTAGTGAGTGTGGAATTCCCTAATTTCAAGAAATTTTAATATAAATTTTATAAAATGCAAGATTCACTAAAGAGAGATGAAATTTCTTCAATGAGTTTGTTTATTTTAAGTGTTTTCACGGGTAGCACGTTCATCTGGTACCGTCTCGTTGGACTTTGGTTCTTTTCCGAACACCACCCTGTACATTAAACCTCCTAGAAAAGCAGCAGTTAGAGGACCTACCCAGTAGACCTATAAAAAAAAACAATACTTAATTTAGGATTCAATTTAGATTATTAGTAACATAACCTGCAATTTATTTTGTTTCGTGTATTTAAAACTTACCCAGTGATATTTCCAATCTCCATCTAAGAGAGCAGGACCAAAACTTCTAGCTGGATTCATATTAGCTCCACTATAAGCACCCTGCAAACATTTTTAATTTGATTAAAAAAAAATTAATTCGAAAGAACGTGGTTAATTCAATATCAAAATCAAGATTTATTTGTTTTTGGTCACAGGGTGATTCTGAATCTATACCACGGTGAACTATAAGGTGCATCAACTCCTATTTAAAAACAAATGAAAACGGCGATAAAACCAATCGTACTTCCTAGCCAAAATCCGCTAGGTTCGCTAGAGTCTATCCGGCGAGAAAGTAAACAAAAGATAAAAGTAGGAGCTGCAATTTGAAAAGTGTTGACAGATAAATATTTTTTAAAATCTTAAAATATTTAAATCATGGTGAATCGTTGTGCTGTTTTTAATTGTGATTATGGGAGAGAGTCTTCAACATATTAATAGCAGTTTTATAATGCCAAAAAACAGTTATACAGAATATGGTGCAAATTATTTATTGGTGGTATGAAAATAAACATTACACCCAAAAGTTCCATTTGTGAAAAACATTTTAATGCAAATTATGTTATCCGTGAAAAAGTGCTAAGTAATCTACTAGGAAACGTTATTTTTCAAGTAAATATGTTTAATGTCTACGTTTTAAATGATTGTAGGTTATGTAAATAGGTTATTCAACTTTGTCTTTTCTGTAATAAAAAGTATTATTAGTATAAAGTTTTACTATATAAATATTTCGTATTATTTATCCTGTTTCCATGTTACTAATAATGTTATGACTTGGACCCTATATCAGTATATAATGTGTTTATGATATAAATTTCATATACCTACATAGATATTTCTTTTGATATTTTTCTGACCCTGCGAATAAATAAAATATTTGACTTATTCCTTTTAGCCTGATTATAATGCTAGAAAGTTGTATCTGGTTATATGAATCAAATAGATAGGTACTATGATAAATGTATTTTACTTTTAGCATTTTTATTTTTAAGTGTTTAAATATACATTTGTTTAATAATAATCATCCCCGAATGTGTTTTGTTCCAGTTCTTTAAATGTATTTACTAGGTTTTTATAGAAGTACTGATTTTAAATTAATAAAAATTTGAGTTGTAAGAAATATTTAAGATTTTTCAATTCTGTATTTTTATAGGAGTTCATCCCTTTAAGTAAATAAATGTAGTTCGGGGTCAAAGATGTTGGTAATTTGTGTATTGAATAATTTGTACATACACTGGTTAATAATTTAAACAATGTGTTTTCTGATCTACCTAATAATTATTTAAGGTTATCTTGTAGTTGAAGAGTCTAGAAATCCGCATATTCACATCATTCCGCACTGAAGTCTAGAATTTGACACAAATTTGAAGTTAAAAATAACGATCCTATTACTTGAAAATCTACAGATTTTTTTAATTTTTAATCCATGTAAAAATTGGTAAATACATGATAAAAAGTAAAAGTTATTTCAATATGCTTATTCCCTGGTTCCAAATAATTAAATATAACCTTGCAACTATATATTATGGTGGTTATGGTGCAGATAGGTGCATTTCCATACCCTTCAATTATAAGATTACCATTATTTAATGTGCAGCGCAAATATAAAAAAAAATTACCTAAAAAATGCTGTTTCTGCTTTTATTACTTACGATGGGACTACTTCTCAAAGGAGACGAGAATGTGAAAAGTATTGCTGATACAGTTACTGAAGTTGTCCACTGGGGGTGAAGTGTTAATCTTTTAGGAATATAGGAAATATTTTTTTATACCTAACAGTTTAATATTTATTTATTGATAAGTTATAGATACTATGTATTTAAAATTCGAAGTAATCATTATGACAGCAGCGTTCTTCTTATTGTATTCGGATTCTTAACACAAATAAAACATCTCATTAAATTTTTGTTAAAATTATTAATTTATGAATTTTACATTAGAAAGAAAATTAACAATACACACAAAATTATTTAAAATTAGAAATAAATACAATTTACACATTTCCCATTATTACACTTTTACTTACTTAATTTATTCATTTCTTATATTAACAATTTAAATTAATAATATAGTTCATGATTTAATTGGAACTCATTTTATAATTTTACTAATTATTTTTTTATATTTATTTGTGGAAAATGAAATATTAAATAAAAGCATAGGAATTGTTCTATTAGATAATAGTAGTACTGAAAAAATAAGTAGGAAAATTTCAAATGTATAGTTTCCAGATTTATTATGAGTTTTTTATATTAATGTACTCAATAAGTAGGTTTATTATGTTTGCTTGTACACATTACAGTTAGCAGCAGACAGTAACAAACCTGACAACACTTTTTAGATTTTAGAAAAACATTACAACAATTTGTTTTACCTAAGGTTTTACATTATATATTTCAATAATGTAATATGTAAGGTTTACTTTTTAAATAAATCTATATGAGCCCTGTCCCGTTTCAATTAGCACACTTCTCAAATTTATAGTGACTGTCACTACAAGAACAAATCATACATAAATCTGATAAATTCTTTTATTTTTTTAACCCTTTCACTTCCACTTTCATTAAAAAAAAATACCATTGTAGTAGATTGTATGTTTTCTTTGTTTATTTTAAGTAAATTAAAATATTTTCATAGTATTTTTTATTACTCCAAGACATAACGTCCCTGTTCAGGGACATTACAAAAACAAAAATTTACTATGAACATAATTTTTTTATAATATTAATCCTTAAAAGTAATGCAAATAAAGTAAATAAACCAAAAAGAAAAAATTTCTACCAAAATTAACAGATGTATACTTCAGGGTTAATTAAGACAGTGTCCCTCTGGAGGGACAAATACACTGAAAGGGTTAAATATTTACAAATTTTCATGAGTGTTTCATCACCTTTAACTTTGATAACGGCAATAATTCATTAAAACATTGTATTCACAAGTTCTTGAAAATCTTGTGCAGGAAACCTACTCCATATTTCTAGATTACCCATTTGCTTTAATTCTGGCAGTGATCTTGTGGGTGCTGCACGCCTCTGCTTAAAAATTATCACCCCATATACAAAAAAGCATCTTTATTAAATGAACAAGAAACTAAAAAAAAAAAAATAAGCATTATTAAAAACTACAAAAAGTGCATCATTTGAAAATCCATATTCAAGCTTCAGATTTGTAAAATTAAAAAAATTCCAAATACACATTTAACTTGTTCGATTATGTATTGAATAAAAGGTCTGTTCCAACAATGATCAGAAACAAACCACTGGGTAGTACACAATTTTGCAGTCTCAATAAACTACTGTGCAGAATCCTGATGTCAGTAACTCATTTCTGAGCATTGTTGGAACAAACCTAAAGTAAATCGAAACCACTTAAAAACAAGTACAACATTTATACTCGAGCATAATTTTTAATTCCTATCAAAATTTTTAATTACTGAATATTTTGTTCTAGTTATATTAAAATTTAAAAGTTCTAACTCTTCATTATAATTATATTTTTTATTTTCCCTATATACCTACATACTATCTCTAACATTTTACAAATTTGATGCCTAATTAACGATTTCATCTAGCATTGCAGAGCATTTTTTAGAATATTTGATAAAGCATAGTAGTAACTGCCAGTTAAAACTTTATTTCTAGTATTTAGTTTAGGTAACAGAGACAACGTTTGCAACAGAAAATACATACTTTTGTTAATTCAGAATTTTTAAATGTTGTTTTATATTGTAAATCTTTCCAGGTATCCTATATCATTTTTTTATGATTTTCAATCAAAACTGTTTAAAAACAAAAAGTTTAATAAAAAAATACCCATTATATTTAATAAAGTTTATGCTCTAAAACTCACTGTTCTTTTAATGGCAGATTTTTTAACCTCTGAGTAAAGTTAGGCGTAAGTATAATCTATAGCCTAATCAGCAAGTAGTTACTTTCAACTTTATTCAGAGGTAAAAACCTGACCTTTAATCTTAATATAATTGTGGAGGATGGAGACTACATTTGCTAGGGATTAGGGAATAACGAAGATCTGACTACTATAATGACATTTGCTAAAAACTGTATAAGTTCTATGTACATGCAGATAGCACCATGTGAATAACTTTAGTGCTTCGATAACACAACATTGATAATTAACAGATGAACATATTGGTCACAAAAACAAATTAATTAATATATTCTACCAATATCATTTTTTCCAAAAAGTACAGTTACAACCTTGTTATTCTTTGAGATGTATTTATTACAGATACTTATTAATAAAAATAATAATAATTGATATAGGTACTTACTGATCTTTGGAAACATATATACTCCAGTCCAGTGAGACTTCATTATTCTGGTATAATGCTATTTCACAGAAATGTTTGTAATTCCAATCACTATGTATGGATTTGATTATAGTAGGTATAAAACTAAATGTTTATTGAATATCTTTAATCTGGGCAATGAAAATCACAAAACTCACTTTAAAAATAATAAGCTTCAATCTGAGTACCATAGTTATCTTCTTCATTTTATAATCAGTAACCCACTGTATTGCTGTTTTCGCCAAAGCCAAAGGTAATATTTGAACACAAAACAAAATCAGCTGTTTTTTATAAACACCCCCATTTCGCTTATTTAGTAGCAAGTCTCTGGCAGCAACTTGTAACTTAATTGGAGCATATTTATTAAATCTTGAACACTTTTTTTGATCGTATAAACGCACACATCAGTGTAGCTTGTTTAAAAAAAAAACACTTATAAGCAACCATCAATAACAATAAACTTATTTGTTGACCATTAATTTTTTCATCTGTACTTCTGATAGTTTTGTCATTTTTCATTTCATATAAACTCGAATTTTCACCATAGAAGAACTATTTTTATGATTACACTTTTTTTGACATTTAAAAAGATTGCCGCATTTTTCCGCCGTAACGACACTAGCGAACTTAGCGGATTTTTGCCCTAAGTACGACCGGTTTTGGTATGTTTTTTTCAGGGAGTTGAAACACCTTTATAGTACGCCGTGACCTATACGCATAAATTTGGGGAAAGATACCGAAAGAAAAAAAGATT